TCACGAGGAAGAAAACTCATGAGCTTCTGTGTCTGTGTACAGCTGGGTTTCCCACTGTGCTGCAGGAGAGGTACATCAATCACACTGGAATAACACTAAGGGCAGGCAGACCCTACTGTTGTACCTGCTAAAAAGGCAAAAACCTGGCTGTGACATTGCATGGAAAGGTTTCTGAACAATGCCAATCCCTGTCTTTATCATGAAAAGATCAAGCTTAAGGAACGAGCTTAAATACCATGTGCTGCAGTAAGTATCATGAAATTACCGAGCTGACTCCAGCATCTGCTGTCCTGCTGAACAAAATTATGTATATCTTTTTTTGCAGTATTTTGGATTATTATAACTAATTCACAAGCTCCCTCTGCTGGGCTACCAGCATAGGAGAGAAGTGCAAAGCTCCTGTTATGTTTTTTGCAGACTGACCCATTTTCTTCAGCTATTTTGACACTTTGTACGGCATCAGAAGTGTACAATCAAATTCATGTAAATGGCTTTTTAGAAATGTAACAGAGAGAGATTTGATGTGTTAGGTGCCTAATAAAATGTTTTTATGTGCATAGAAGGTTTTTTTCACAATAATGTAACTGTAGCTGTTACCTCCTGAAAGTGCTTATGCATCTATCAAAAGATAATGATACTTGGTTTCAGTAATGCCTTGTGTCACAGGAAAGAGCTCTAAGGAAATAAATACAGACCTGTTAAAAGAATTAAAAGCTTACAGTCATCAAATACACTCCATACACTATGCAGTTTGATGTAGCAGTGGTTTTCAAAGCGAGCCAAGGGGTTTGTACGAGCATTCAGAGGAATAAAAAAGTGCTGAAAACATTACTCTAATCAGAAGAGCTCATCCTGCTGCTTTCTGCCTAATCCTCAAGGTCAAGATTTCTGTCTGCAGTTTTCAAAATACATACATGGGGCTGAGCACTGTCATAACCAATAATTGCAAAATCTCTTTTAGTAGATTAAAAAGAGTTGTGAAATTACTGACTTCCAACTAAACAATATCAGGTGAGAGACTGCTAACAAAAAGCCAGAATGATGCTCTTTGATTGCTGTAGACAAAGCATTTCCTGTCTGGCTTTTAACAGGGATTTACTGAATTAAGGACCTGCCTTAAATAATTCACAAAATTGTGGAGTGCCTTTATGGGAAAAGGCATATTGTCTGCAGTGGCACCAGAGAAAAATGGAGAGACTTTATGAACAATCACAGTGGCTTTTTTACTGCAAGTCAGGCTCCTAGACACAGACAGTGGTACAAATAAAAGGTATTACAATGCTGCCTGTGTTATTTAAAGTAACAGGTACATGGGAATGTAGCCATCACCAGTGTGAGTGGAGCAGTTATTTGGCAGCACTCAGCATCACTGGAAAATGATGTAGAATAGAAAACAACTGCAGCAACCAATTGATACAAAAAGTGCAGGGAGAATGCAGAATGCATGCATTCCAAACTTCAGTCTAGTGAGGAGACTAAAGGGATAATTTCTAACATCAACTGAGACAAAATCACCTCTTTTGACTAAAGTGGGAAGGCCACCTCTACTTATCCAGGAAAAGGAACAGGTATGATGTGTGTGATAAATAGGTGAAAGTTTGAGAGGGGCTTTTTACATGGACATGCAGTGACAGGACAAGGGGGAATGGCTTTAAACTGAAAGAATGCAAGTTTGGTCTAAATATTAGGAAGAAATTCCTTGCTCTAAGGGTGGTGAGACACTGGAACATGTTGCTGTGGAGAAGCTGTTCAAAGCCACGTTGGATGGGGCTTTGAGCAGCCTGGTCAAGTAGAAGGTGTCCCTACCCATGGTGGGAGACTTGGAACTAAATGGCCTTTAAGGTGCCCTCCAACTCAAACCATTCTTTTATTCCGTGGTAGAACAGCTTGTGATGTCTTTAAGAATACAAGAAGGAATTAGGTGAAATTTTAAAGCACTAGCAATATATCTCTTAGTGTCATTAGTCTTCCATTCAAGTATTGACATGATAAAGAGTAATTTTACCTATGCTTATATTCTCAAAATATGTATCTTATCTCAAGCATGAATTTTTTTTCTAGGTAGCATATTCTCATATTGGTTTTATTCTGCATCAAAGTATCTGATGGCTCCAGAGGATGTGATATCAATATACAATTTATCTTTTAAAAGCCTGAGGATTATCAGTCTGTTTCTTTTCTGTCCCTAATTAAACATTACTTCAGTAATTTCCAGGGACAAGGAGGCATTGCAGCTCCACTGAAAGGAAAATGAAGTTTGTAGGACCACAGCTGCACTGTCTGTGGTTATGATTAATGTATTTTATGATTCTTGTTTTGGTCATAAGATTCAGCTGTTTTGTTAAAGATACTGTGAGGGAGTATACAGAGACAAGCTGTACAAACAAGACTGGTTTGAGGGGATTTTTTTGTAAGGTGACAGAAATCTAAGGAGTTTTTAACACAAAATTCGTTAAAGTAAAAATGTCAAACCAATGGAGATCTTAAACGTGATTGCTGATTATTCAGCCTTTGGCAGGCCACTGATAGGGATGGTGAGAGTTTCTGTTCAACCATTTCCCAGAATAAGGAGCAATAATGCAAATTCTTCATACTTAAGTGTTTTGGGAAGCAGGCAGCAACCCTACAACAACTGTGGACTGGGTGACTTGGTAAGAGGTTATTTGTAGTCAACATAAAGACTGATTTATTTAGCTGTTAGTTAGGCCATGTCTACCTGGTGTAAGCCCACAGATCAGTCCAAGAGGCCAGAAATAAGGTTGTTTTCAAGATACATAGGTCATTTTCTTTCCCATTTTCTTTGGTCATGTGGAAGTGGATTAGGTGGGTTGATTTCTACCGTTCATTCATGCTTTTAAATACCATTTTTCATCTGTCTTTGCATATGGGCTGCTTTTGCATTCTGAAAAAGAGTGACATTCATTAGCATATTTCATTAAGCCAGCCAAAAGGATATACTTTGTATAGACTGAGGTATTCATAGTGCTCAAGTATTTTGACTTTTTACACTTTATATTAAAAAACAGTGAACAGTGTATTCTTATCTAGCTGATACATCTTTATGCAACACTGTGAAAGGCTGGATTTGGGTAGAAGTTTACATTTAAAAACACAATCAGCATTCTAAAACAGTCATTAGTTCAATTTAAAAATTAAATGTGCTGAACATAAAAATAAGCTTAGCAAAACATGGTTTGTATTGAAAGCTAGTTGATAATATTAAGTGAAGGAATAATTACATACAGAAAATGAACTGATTAAGAGTTTTCTAACCCACATGCTTTTGCCTTTCAGAATTACAATTAGTAGAACTTATCCTTCACATTTATTTTTAAAGGATGACCTTATTAATGCTTTTACAAGGTATGGAATTCAGAAGAGTAGATCCTAAATTTCAAGACAGTAAAACGACAGCTCTGGAGAAAATTCAGTCTTTCTCACCATGTCTTTGCTCTCATTTGTTTAAGATTCAATCCATCTCTTTAAATTCTGTGCAGCTAAAACAATTAATTTAAAAATGACTGGAAATGAGTGAAGTCTCCAGATGTTAATGGCTTATTTAATTCTACTGCAGTAACATTAAAGAACACTAATCAAGATGAGAACTAGGTTGTTCTCCAGGTTGTACAAATACCAGTGTCATTTGGAGCAGCTGTAATAAATCCCTTGTTATCATGAAGCAAGGTGAGACACACAAACAAAATCTTTCAGCCATTAGTTTTCAGTCAAGTTTTAATGACATTAATTATCTGTAGCATCTTTTACAGTCCAAATGAGAAAATACAGTTTATAACAGATGTTGTCTCCGTATTAAAGCTATCAGTATTTTTTAAACTTGAAGAAGTAATTGTAAATCCTATGATAATTAAAATTATAGCAAACCCAAATGTGTTCAGAAATATTTCAAAGACATTATTCTGATATTCCATTTAATTTTAGGATTGCTGTTTATCTCGTCAAGACTATTTGTACAGCTTTTTTTTTTTTTTCCTGTGTAATTTTTTCCTTTTTGCTTTCTCAGTTCTCTTTTCACAAGTTGAAATATATTTCTTCAAAGTACTTCTGCCATATGGGCCTTCCCCTAAAGCTGAAACCATACTTTGGTTAAATCATTTAATTGGCCTAGATATTGTTCAGTAATGTCCAAGTGTGGTTGACACAGGACATTGCTGGTGATGCAGGGAATTGCATGTAATTAGAGTTGTAGTTAAAATCTGTAAAATTGATTTCTCACTGAATGCTTTAGATCATTAACATGGAAAAGTTCATGTCTGGTGAAATATGTGATTTGTCCATCTTACTTCTGACACCTGTAGGAGCCAAGTCATTTTTAGGGACGGCATTAACCTGTTTGTGATGCTAAAGTCCCACAAGCATAGCTGGCCTATATTCATAGAAGCCTGTCTTGCACTTCATTTTTCTTAGCATTTTCTTGTATTAAGAAAGGCTGGTTCTTTTACAAGAGGTTTCTGTACCGTCATACATAGTAGTGATTTTCAGTAATTTAGGAATAATTTAATAACTCTTCCTTGCTTCCTTTTTTTTAAAAGCTTGTCTATAGAAATATCTGTCTAGTGTGTCCCAGTAAAGCCTGTACCATTTACTTCTTTAATATTTTCCTTTGTCTTCTTCTAATTCCTCTTCCCCCAGTCTGGAGGCTGCTGTTCTGCAGCTTGCCTGCTGCTTGTTGTCAGCTTCCATCAGACTGAAGGATCTCTGGGAAGGAAAGACTCTGAGAGGGCCTCTTTTCACCTCATCTGTGCAGCTAAAGATTTGACATTCACTTCCTGAGACAGGATGAAACTCTGGTTTGGAGAAACATTATGCAAATCAACTGTGTTATGTAAGGAACTCCTAATAATGATGTACATTACAGCATATTTGTAAGATTAAAGGCAGTATTGCATCCTGTGCACTGGCAAAAAAACAGAGTCCTGAAAAATGTCTTAAAAACGAAATCATTATAATAGACTTGATGTTTGTTTGATGTTTCTGTTTAGGTGCTGACCGCAGCACAAATTAAATCGATTTGCCTGGCCATACTAGAATCAGGAAAACAGTATGCAGTGAAGAAGAGGAAACCAGTCCCACTGATGTATTCCTACTATGGAACAGAGTATCTTGGTGAGTAAAACACACCAACACTCCACAGAGTGTGCTGTGTGGAGATGCTCAGCTAGTAGGCACTTCAGAAATTAGATACATAAAATCTACAGTGTGGGATTTTTCCTGAACCCATTGGGACCATCCAACCTCCTAAAACTGTGCAGTGGGACTGAGGAGCTGGAGGGAAGGGCTGGTGCTGCCGAGCATTGGGGAATGCAAGAGGTGCCTGTGCTGCAGCAGGGGAGCAGCTTCATTCCCTCTTCTTTCTGCCCTGGTAAATAAATCTGCCTTGCCAGCAGAGGCAGGGAGGGGTGTGGTGTCTGTGCCTGTGTGGAGCAGGTTCCTCAGGGCACTGTCAGGGATGTTCTCTGGGAGCTGCTGCTGCCCTGCCAGACCTGGCAGGGTGGTTTTGGCCGTAGCAGTGCGACTCAGGCACGTGGTGAGCTGCTCCCCTCACAGGCAGCTTGGTTGGAGCTCACCTGAAGCTCTGGTGAAAGGCCACTGAGGAGGGCCCTCATGGGGTTCTCATGGCTCAGTATCACTGCAGAAAGTGTGCATTGGTTTGCAGTTCCCTGGCAGGAGAGCAGAGAGCAGTCGCTCTGTGGTGTGTTCCACAGACCCTGGCAGGTACAGACAGTTCTTACACTGAAATGTAGGTGTTAGCTCACTGATAGTGTCAGTCAGTTACTGGGAAATACCCATTTATGGCCCAGTTTCAATTTGCATTCAGCAAATGCAAATATATGGCCCAGATTCAGCAGTGTGTCAAGAAGAGTAACACCTTGAAACACTATTCAGTTCAGGTTCAGTTTAACTTCATACAGTGAGTTTCAGTCATATCAGAGTGAGAGCAGAAGGAATTCATACATATTTTTTGCAAAGCTAGAGGAACTGGAAATGACAGAAGTAGTAAAATATGGTAGTAAAACATGGTGTTATGCACCTAGAAATCTTTTAATCCAAGCACTATTCCAGTGTGCATGAAGAAGACAAAGGAGCCATGCTCTTGACAAGGAAATCTGTCCCAAGGGAAAGTTGCAATTAGGTGCATACAGAACCTAAATCCACACTCTAATTCAATTGTTTCTGTTCTTTGCAGGTGCAGCACATGGGCTTTCCTCAATCCTGCAGATGTTGCTCTCCTATTATGAGTACCTGCAGCCAGCAGATCAGGAGCTCGTGTGGCAGAGTGTGGATTTCCTGATGGACCAGGAGCAGAACAGCAACTGGCCCCCCGAGCTGGGGGAGACAATCGAGCGGGAGAACGAGCTGGTGCACTGGTGCCATGGAGCTCCAGGTTCTTTTCCCATTGATGCTATGCATAGCCAGATGCTGATCACATTGCTTTTTCACATTAGGTGATTCCATGTAGAAGATAATCTCAGATTAAATTCGACCAAAGTGAAAACCCTGATGGACAGAAAGAAGTTACACTTAGAGATGCGGAAATTCATTAATTGCTATTGTTCTTCCCCAGAAAAACCTGTATCCCATCACTGTTCTTGGGTAATAACACATGTAGCTTACAAGAACACTTCAGCTACTCCAGTGTTTGTTAAATTCAGACCACAAGTCAGCTAAATGCTTCCTTAGGCACTTGAGTTGGTAATGTGCATTCTCATAAGGTTACTATGAACTGAGCTGTGAGTTCTCTAGTGAAGATTATGATTCATTTATTTCAATTCCCTCTAAAAATATGCCAAATAGGGGTTTTTTTAGCAGAAGTTAATATGTATAACTGTGTATAACTAGAATAAAGCAGTGTAGGCCTCATTGGGGAAAAAAAAAAAAGTGAATTGTTTTCTCATTCAGTGAAAGTTTGCATCTGTTTCCAGTGTTAGAAATTATCTTGCCCATCCTTGTGTTTCTGTCAGTAAGCAGGTGAGATGAATGGTGATTTGGAGCCAATAGAAGACAGTGCTAAGAGTTTACTCTTCAAAGGCAAAAATGTGACTGCTCTTTTAAAATGACGAAGGTCTGGGAATGTTAGAGTAAACCCTGGAATTCAGTAATGACATGGAAAAATTGTAAGTGTCACAGGGTACACCTTACTGTGTGATTTTAGCATAGCAGATACTCCCCTGTCCACATGGAATATTTAGAGGCTACACTGACATGTGTAGAGCACAAGAATGCAGTTTTTTAGTGTAGAAGTCTTTATTTTCTTATGTGTTCTGTGAAACCCTTGGTGTGCTTAATACAAAAGACACTCTCACTGCTCTTTTACCTAGGCATTGCATATCTGTTTGCCAAAGCTTACCTGGTTTCCAAGAAGCCTCAATATCTGGACACTTGTATCCGCTGTGGAGAGCTCACCTGGCAGAAAGGCCTGCTGAAGAAGGGCCCTGGAATATGCCACGGGGTGGCTGGTAGTGCTTACGTGTTCCTGCTGCTGTACAGGCTCACTGGGAACTCCAAATACATATACAGGGCACAAAGGTGAGCATTCCTGTCTTCTGGATTTAGGCTAATACCAGAAAGTTTTGGGAACATTTATAAAGCAGAGTTTGTGATCATCACCCTCGGATGTAAGCCGAGTGTTTAAGCTTCAGGGTCAATTGTAGCCGTAAGTTCTGGGGTGGGTGCACTCTCTGGGAGCTCTGCAGTCTCATTCAGGCTGCCTGGGCTCTCCCAGGCTCCCTCCCTGCCCGAGAGCCTCTGTTTCTTCAAAGGGAACTGGGATGTGGGGGAATCATGTGTGTCGAGGTCTCATCCTGATGTGATGGCAGAGCTCAGACAAACTGTGTAGCCAAGTCCAGGAGTAGAGTAAAACATGATTTGATATGATTTTTTTCAGAGCATTTAACATATTCCATACTATTAAAAGTGGAAAGTAAGTATAGGATGTGGTGTGCAGTTATTTTATATTTTTTAAATTTATCATTCCCACCTTTAGCTTAGCTAGTGGGGTTAGTTCTGTTTTGTCTGGATGCAAGCACATGTGGTCCAGTGAAAATTCTGTCACAGTGCTGCAGTCATCTTTAACTATGTATCTCTAGTTTACTGTACCTGTTTAAAAACATACTTTGCCATGTTTGTTATTGTTAACTTTACAGCACAGAATAAAAGGGGAAGTAGTACAGTAATAAGATGACTGATTTTCAGCCCTTTGCTTATTTTTTAAATTTGTGTAGTTATTTCAGAATTAGAGAATTTGTTGCATTGATGTGAAACATTGCTTGCATCCTGAAAGTTATCCAAAAGTATTTGTTTAATGATACATCTTACAGAAATCAGAAAATGCTTATAGCTCTTAAACAAGCATAATGCATGCACAGATTGTAAAGGTTTGTCTCTTCTGGATCTAATGAAGCTCAGTTTCTTGTGGAAACTGGATAGTGTCAAATTTGCAGAAAAGGTTAAATACTGATTGTTCTATTATTTTTTTTTTTAAGTGCTGAATGTTACTAAAATGATGCTTCCAAACAACAAATAGACAGAGAGGGACATAAAGTAATAACAAACTCTTTTTTTTCTCTGTCTTAGGTTTGCAGAGTTCTTATTTACAGAAGAATTTAAGTCTGGTTCCCGGGCACTAGAAAGCATATATAGTCTGTATGAAGGATTTTCAGGAACTGTGTGTTTCCTGACTGACTTGCTGCAACCCAACCAAGCCGAGTTTCCTCTCTTCAGTGTCTTTGTCTAAAGACTGGTGTTCTCCAGGGCCACATCCCAGAGGTAGTGGGAGAGGGCACCTGCAGTTCCACTTACTTTTCAAGACAGGCTATTTACAAAACGTGACGGGGTACCACTAATGCTAGCCTTAATGCAGCTGGGAGGCAGATCAAAAACAACACACACTGGGGCTTGGGGGTGGGGAAGTGTGTGGTCAAAATAAATGGGTCAGGGGGGAAAAAAATTGGGGGAGCTGATTGAATCTGGTGTTGTAGATATTTATCTAAGTATACAAATGAGAGAGAAAGGGGCATTATCAAACTTTTAATTTGGTGAAAAAAAGGCAAGCTAGAATTGCAGGGATGTGCAAAGAAGAAACAGTGATGCACCCAGTAGGTTTTAAAAAGGGTCCTGCAAAAACCATTCATGGAGCAATGCACTAATTGGGGAGGGTGTTGTAGACATGTCACTGCACTTGCCAAAGGCAAAATCTGGGATTTTTTATTTAAACCACGTCTGCTAGTTTTAGTAACATGTATTAGGAAAATCTCTATCTTTGAGCTCTTTGGTCCTCATATAATGCATATAAAGGCAGTTTCATAGATAGCTGTGTGTTCAGGCTGCAGTTTCACAGTTCCTTTCAGTGGGGTCTCACGTGGGTAAATGAGCACTGAATTGGACCCTTCCTTTTAGAGCTCAGTCTGTGGCAGGGAGCTGGTCTCCTTTCTGATCTACTGTAACTGTGTCATGTCTTGTCAGTACTTTCCCAGCCACATGGAAGCCATAGAGAAGACTTGGATTAAAACGTTCTGTAGTAAGGATACAGCAGGCAGATGCTTTCTTCATGGTACAGCATTGCTAGATAAGTATCATTCAGTGATACAAAAGCTTCCTTTAAAAATTAATTACTTTTAGCAGCATTTCTGAACAGTACCCTAAGTGTTTTAGACTATGGAAAACCTATTTTCCTTGATGAATTCTTCACTATGAACCCTGCAAAGTGATTACAATCCTGGGATGGCATATTGATCCTCAGAAAAAAACAGATAACAAAACTCAAAATTGCTTTTTTTCCTAGTTAGGAAAATAATGTATATGCCCAAATGATTTTTAGCTAGAAAATAATTTAGATATAAATAAATGGGTTGCTCAATACTAGTTGCACTAGCACATATAGTTGCAATTATATGCTGTTTTCTATGTATTATAGATACAATGACATGGTACTTGAAAGCTAAAGAAAACACTAACATAGATTTGTACTTAAAATAGAAAATTAATATCTGTATTTAAAATCTATTTACTACTTATTTATTTTTATTTATATGGGAATAATGTCTGTAAAGACAAATCGGGAAAACCAATATGTTAAAAACTGAAGTTAGAGAGAAAAAGCTGCTGTACATGCACTGCCAAACAATGCAGTCCCTCTTCCTGCATTCTCAGCTGGAGGAGATTACAATTTCTTTATTTTTAATGCCTAATGGATTAAAGTTCCCATTTCATTTCAGTGGGCTTTGATCAGGCTATAAGTTGGAGCTTGCAGTCCTTCCACATTTTAATATAATAATCCCTTCCTGCTCTTGCCACTGTTATTTTAATGAGATGGCTTGCATTATTATGAGCTGTAGAGAAGGATTTCTGTTACTCTGTCTTGCACTGTGCGGCTCTAATTAATTACTTAATCATAGAAATAACCATATTTCACTGATGAATAAAGCAATGCAGTTCTGTATCAGTTTGTCAAGAATTTAGGTATCTTTTAGTGAATGGAAATCTTAAAACTCTATACATTTTTGTGTTTATTAAAACACGTTAGTTAAAAGGTTAAATGGTCTTTTAAGAAAGCCACTAGAGTCACTTGGTTACCCTGAGCAGTGAGATGTGTGCACACAGGGGGATGAATTCCATAGGGAGGGTGTACACATGAGACTGAATGAAAAAGTCAATGGATATGGCAGTGTGCTCTGCCCAGCCCTGTGAAAATGCTCCTGTTAGAGTAGAGCAAAGTCAATTGTCACTAGCAAAGATCCCAAATCCATTAGGATTTTTTATCTAGTTGGTTCCTGTAACGCATTTGGCTCCTATATTTCTTAGCTTCTTAACCTTCTTAAAGAGAAGTTTAAGGAAGGTAAAACTTGGCCTATCCACTTCTTTTAAATGGGATTCTTCACAAATGCCAGGATATAAACATTGAGCTCAGTGTTTTTCCTGTGTGTCTGTCTCTCTTTGTAGAATTTCTTCCAATTCACATTCAGAGGAGACTCTGATCTTCTCTGTGTTGTGATCAACCGCACACGCAAAACAGATCTCCTGTCCCCACACTACCATTCTTTGTATAGTAAGCCACATGTTTTGGAGAGAAAAAGAAAACAGTTATTTGAGTAAGAGTTAGTCCATTCAACAATGAGAAAACTCATAGAACCACCCAGTTTTTGAAATCTAGATCCCAAACATCTCTTCAGGTTATGTGAGTTCAGCGCTGACTCTGGCAAGGGCAGCACACAAACATCCAGTCTCCTGGGATGCATCTGGTAAAAATCTTGGAACATATTTATTCATCTCTTTCATCAGACGTGGCAGTTTGAGCACACTATCAGAGATTTGTGGCTTTTCTTACCTGACCTGGCTGGGTTAAGGTGGTTTCTAGATGTGCTGCAGTCACAGCTTCTGAACACAGCGCAAATACACCCCAGGGCTCTTTGGAAAATGGTGCTCCTTAAATGAGCAGGGTTTTTTTCATCTTTCCCCCCTATATTGTCTTACCTGATTTTCTCTCTGTACTATATATGCTATTACAAAGGTGCTGTTGCAATCTTTATTTGTTGCTTTTAAGACATTGACAGAACAGCAACCTGAGTAGAGCTGTCAGCACTTTCCAGTGTAATAAAAAGTAAGGTACTCTGTGTACCCTCTTCCTGCTTTGAAAATCAATCTTGCAACCTTTGCTAGACATTCTCCATGGGATGCTGTCTCCTCCTGCTCCTGAATTGGGCCCTTATGGACTGAAAAAGGTATTCCTGAATAGATTCTGCCCTGGTGCTGTGACAAAAGACTGTTGTGGGAAACTCAAGAAGCCTCTTTCAGGGTGTAAAACACAGTAACTACGTCATGTTGGCACATTAGTTTCTTGGCTGTGTTTAGTTTCTAAAGTGTAGGCAATAGGAATTTAAGTGATATAATAGTATTTCTGATTATGCTGTTAAAGCAAAGAGGATGCATTATGTGGGTATTGGTGCTTATTTGTGATGTACCTGTGTTTGTGTGGTGCTATTTGTGAGTAAAGCTGTAGATTACACATCTGTTTAAGGAGCTATATACTGTTCATGACTTTCAGCCTGCCATCCATAGATTACTGTCAGGGAATCATTTTGAGGGAAACTAGGTCTGTAGTGTCCAGATTAATTAATTTCAGGATTCATAGAACCAGATGCAATAGGTTTTATCAACAGTACAGTCTAGCAAATATATCTTTATTTCTACATGCTATTCACAACTTTTTTGTGTCACTGCTTTCAATATCTGCTTTGTTTGCATCATTGTTGCCTTCAGTTTCCCTGCCTTTGTTTCCCAACGAATGAATAACTTGAGGAGGCTGAAGAAGCAGCCCAGGTCTTTTGTTCTTGAAAATATGATTGACTGATTTTGCTTAAGCAGGGTGTTCCACTAACTTGCATTACATTATTTTATGCTCCCAGATGGTCTCTTCTCACTGGTTGTGCCATATCCCACCTGCTAAGGAAAAATCATTATCCTGTGTAACAACTGTAACTGTTGTTTTCCTTCATTAAATAAAAGAGACTTTCTAGGGAACATGGTCACTT